ATTTACTGAGTGCCTGTTTCTTGCAATGCCTGGTACTAGATATATCCATATATAATATCTTATTTAATATTTGGAACAATTCTGTGAGAAGACTATATTAGTAATCCCATTCTACAGATTAAGAAATTTGTTCACAGAGATTTTTGACACACCTGTGATCTTCTAGAGCAAGGAATCTCCATGCCCTGAGATGCTGGAAGATTTTGGTCACCAAATTAGATTTATTATGACTCATTTTATTTACTCCAGCAAAAGGTAGACCCGTGAAGTGTGGAAAGATGAGTAACAAAAGTTGAAGCAAAAAAAAATGTTTAAGAAGCTTAATCTTCAGCCATCCACAAAATTCAGTTAAGTTAAATCTTCCCTAAGCATTCAATTTAATCAACATTTTAATGCATATATGGCAATTTAGCCTAAGGCAACAAAGTATCTATTAGAGGGCCTACCATTATTTTAATAGATACAAATAGTTTATCATCATTATCATCCTTGTTTATATGTAATTTATGCTTCTAAAGTACTTGAGGTCATTTTAAAGAGGTTTTTGAGGTATTTTAACCAAACTCTACCCCTCTAATTTTTATAATTAGTGTTGTTTCCATAGCCACTCCAAAAGGTTTTGCTAAACAAAATAGACTTGCAGCCCAGCCCATGTCCAAATATCATAAATTTCAATTAGTGAGCCATTTCTGTCCTTTCATTACTATTAAGCATTCTGCATAATGCTCATAAATATGGCATATATTTTATTCAGTTCAACCTCAAACAGATACCACTATCTTGAAGAAACAAATTCAGAGCAACTTGATCATCACTATTTACAAGATTTACAGGATTTCACATTTGATACAGATTTTAATATATTGCTTCCTACCTCTATGTTATGTTGAATATGAATTGTATTAATTAGGAAGCACAAAGCCTTGGGAAAGGCTATTGGGAAAGGTATTTCCCTTGGGAAATACCATTGGGAGGAAAATCCTACAAGTAAAGGTCTTTCACAAAAACTCATGTTCTTCAAATGTGGTATTAGATATGAATTGATTAAAATCCTGATGGCTTATGGCAGTACACTGTACTTGGATTAATAGAAAGAACTCTGAAACTTTTGTTTTTCACTGCGGTCTCCTGAGAAGCACAACTTTTCTTTTTCGAACCTCCTCTTTGTGTTTTGTAAACTTGGGGCTAAATCTTATTGAGAGAAGTGGCTGTTGGGAGACAATTTTCCATGGGTCTCGCATGTTTCTATAGTTTTCTGAGCAGAGACTGCATTTTCTCAGGACTAGCTTTTCAAAGATGTTTATATAACAAACAGCTTTGATAAAGATAGAGTGTCCTTCCAGAGGAAGAAGCAAGTTTGTTTTGATTACTGTAGTTTTTAACAGANTTAGATGAGCTATATGTATTGAAACAACATGTAATATTTCCTATAAAATATTTTAAGTGCTATAAATTAAAGACTATTGCATGATAAAACCTTTAAAGATTTTTTTAGTAAAATGTTAAAAATAAACTTAGGGAATTGCTGCTCAAGCCATGACTCAATAGTTAATCTTATAGAGAAAAGTTCAGAATATACTGCCAAGATCATAAAGTTATATGTTTTTTACTTAAATTCATGGTAAAAAGTCACCTTGTAACAAAATTAATGCATGTCAGAATTTATGTCAGCTACTTAGGAAATCGATAAATGTAATGCAATTTCCTATATTTTTTTAACAATCATAATTGATGCACTTTCAACTAATATGAGTATTTACTGAGTGCCTGTTTCTTGCAATGCCTGGTACTAGATATATCCATATATAATATCTTATTTAATATTTGGAACAATTCTGTGAGAAGACTATATTAGTAATCCCATTCTACAGATTAAGAAATTTGTTCACAGAGATTTTTGACACACCTGTGATCTTCTAGAGCAAGGAATCTCCATGCCCTGAGATGCTGGAAGATTTTGGTCACCAAATTAGATTTATTATGACTCATTTTATTTACTCCAGCAAAAGGTAGACCCGTGAAGTGTGGAAAGATGAGTAACAAAAGTTGAAGCAAAAAAAAATGTTTAAGAAGCTTAATCTTCAGCCATCCACAAAATTCAGTTAAGTTAAATCTTCCCTAAGCATTCAATTTAATCAACATTTTAATGCATATATGGCAATTTAGCCTAAGGCAACAAAGTATCTATTAGAGGGCCTACCATTATTTTAATAGATACAAATAGTTTATCATCATTATCATCCTTGTTTATATGTAATTTATGCTTCTAAAGTACTTGAGGTCATTTTAAAGAGGTTTTTGAGGTATTTTAACCAAACTCTACCCCTCTAATTTTTATAATTAGTGTTGTTTCCATAGCCACTCCAAAAGGTTTTGCTAAACAAAATAGACTTGCAGCCCAGCCCATGTCCAAATATCATAAATTTCAATTAGTGAGCCATTTCTTTTTTTTTTTTTTCTTTTTGTCTTTTTTCTTGTCCGGCAATGGGATCGCAACCCTCGGTGTCGCGCCCGCCCCTCGCTCAGCCAGTGAGCTGCCGGTCTGTATGTGGGATCCGAACCCTCAGCGGGAGCGTCGCTCCACTCCCAAGCGGCGCACTGTAGCAGTGCGCCACCAGGCTGGCCCCTAGTGAGCCATTTCTGTGCTTTCATTACTGTTGAGCATTCTGCCTAATGCTCATAAATATGGCATATATTTTACTCAATTCAACCTCAGATACCACTATCTTGAAGAAACAAATTCAGAGCAACTTGATCATCACTATTTACAAGACTTACAGGATTTCACATTTGATACAGATTTTAATATATTGCTTCCTACTTCTACATTATGTTGAATGTGAATTGTATTAAATCAGGAAGCACGAAGCCTTGGGAAAGGCTATTGGGAAAGGTATTTCCCTTTGGGAAATACCATTGGGAGGAAAATACTACACGTAAAGGTCTTTCACAAAAACTCATGTTCTTCAAATGTGGTATTAGACATGAATTGATTAAAATCCTGATAGCTTACGGCAGCATTCTCTACTTGGATTAATAGAAAGAACTCTGAAACTTTTGTTTTTCACTGCAGTCTCCTGAGAAGCACAACTTTTCTTTTTCGAACCTCCTCTTTGTGTTTTGTAAACTTGGGGCTAAATCTTATTGAGAGAAGTGGCTGTTGGGAGACAATTTTCCATGGGTCTCGCATGTTTCTATAGTTTTCTGAGCAGAGACTGCCTTTTCTCAGGACTAGCTTTTCAAAGATGTTTATATAACAAGCAGCTTTGATAGAGTGTCCTTCCAGAGGAAGAAGCAAGTTTGTTTTGATTACTGTAGTTTTTAACAGATTTTGAAATTAGGAATTGTGATGCCTCCAGCTTTGTTCTTTTTCAAGATGGTTTTGACTATTCAGGGTCTTTTTAGGTCCAATATGAATTATAATTGTTTTTTCTATATCTGTAAAAAGAATGCCATTGGGATTTTGATAGGGATTGCATTGAATCTGTAAATTGCCTTGGGTAGTACAGACATACTAACATAGGATGTCTTTCCATTTATTTGGGTCTTTTTAAATTTTTTCATCAATGTTTCATAGTGTTGATACGCAAGTTTTTCATGTACTTGGTTAAGTTTAATCCTAAATATTTTATTCTTTTTGATGCTGATATAAATGAGATTGCTTTCTTGATTTCTTTTTCTGATAGTTCATTGTTAGTGTATAAAAATGCAACTGATTTTTTTGCACATTGATTTTATATCCTGCCATATTACTAATTTGTTTGTTCCAACAGGTTTTTGGCAATCTTTAGGATTTTCTACATATAAGGTCATGTGATCTACAAAAGGAATAATTTTACTTCTGCCTTTCCAATTTGAATGCCTTTATTTCTTTTTCTTAACTAATTGTTCTGGCTGGGACTTCTATGTGAATAGGCGTTTTGAAAGTGAACATCTTTGCTTTGTTTCAGATCTTAGAGGAAAATCTTTCAATTTTTCACCGTTGAGTTTGATGTTAACTTTGGGCTTTTAAAGTGCTGTTGAATTTGGTTTTTTTAGTATTTTCTTGAGAAATTTTGCATCTGTGTTTATCAGGGATATGGGCCTGCAGTTTTCTTTTCTTGTGGTGTCTTTGTCCAGCTTTAGTATCAGGCTGATGCTGGACTTATAAAATGGGATTGGAAATGTTCCCTTTCTATTTTTTGGAAGTATTTGTATTAAATTTAACTAAACCTTTGGTAACATTCACTTGTGAAGTCATTTGGTCCTGGGCTTTTCTTTATTAGGAGGTTTTTCTTACTGATTCAAGTCCTTATTTGTTATTGGTCTGTCCAAGCTTTCTAGTTCTTCTTGGTTCAGTCTTGGTACGGTGCATGTGTCCAGGAATTTCTTCATTTCTTCTAGGCTGTCCAGTTTGACTGTTCATAATAATTCACTATCATCTATGTTATTTCTGTGGGATAAGTTGTAATGTCTTCTCTTTTATTTCTGATTTTATTTTTGAGTCTTCTCTCTAGTTTTTCTTGTCTTTCTAAGAGTTTGCCAATTTTATCTTTTCAGAAAAACACATCAGTTCTATTTGTTTCATTGTTTTTTTCATTTATTTCAGTGCTAATCTTCATTATTTCCTTCCTTCTACTAACTTTGGGCTTAGTTTTTCCTCCTATTTCTTCTGTAAGTCACTAACATCCAATGCAATCACCAATATATTATTTATATGATTTTGATCTATTTATTCAGCTAATCCTAGACCTGGTGTGAGTTTTCATGTGTACTCAGGAAATTGTTCTAACCTGATAACTGGTATTATTTCAAATTTTATGAGCAACTAATTTTACCTTCTACCTAAACTTTCTTCATCTTGAATGTAAATATAGTTTGCATAATTCATTGCTTTTATTCTCGAGACTAATTTTTCATGTGTATTTTCTACAGAAAGCATACAAGTAGCTATCAACATTTACTTATATTGAATTAAGTCCTTCCTAGGGTGGGATAGGCAGGGGTGGATAGCATCTCACCTTAAAAATATGTTTCATGTGAATATTACTGCATCGAATATCTAATTTTTCAAGTAATTGCTGAGTTTTTTCTAGGTTAATTTTTCCACCTCTAAAGTCATCCCGAACCTTCGACAAAAACCACGTATGAAGAACAAAACAGTTAAGGAAATTCACACAGAAAGTCATTGAGTATTTAAAATTCCTAAAGAAATATTTCATCTCTCTTTACTGTACTTATTTTTATTTTTAAAGAATAGTCTGTTTTGTGCTTAAAACACATGACAAGATAATTGTATGACAAATAACACTTAAAACAAAATTAAGTAGTTACTGTTCTGTAGTAAACAGCACAATAAAAATACTTGGAAAGAACAAAAATATAAAAATAAAAATAGGAGAAATAAAGTTATTACTCCAGAAATAGACTGAGACATTATTACACTCCATTGCCTAAAGGCATGTACTTGGGAGGTAACTGGGCTTCAGATCCCCCTCTTACTTGACCTCTCTCAGTGTCAGTTTCCTCATCCAGAAAAGTGGGCAAATTAATATTTAATCTTAGAGAAAGAGGGAGCATTAAATGAGTTCATAATATGTCATTGAACACAGTTTCTGCTATTGAGTGTTCAGTAAATAGTAACCATGACTGATATAATTATTACTACATTAGTCAAATGTCCAGCTACATATACACCCAAAAAGCAACATTTTAAGTACCATCGAAAAGGGTTAAAAATACCATGGTGAGTGTATGTTTGGTAGGAAAGATAAAACTAAAACCATCAAGCTTACTTATTATATACAGATAAACTATAAAAATTAGGACACTTCAATTTAAAAACCAAAGGTTACAGTGAAATAATATGACAATCTATAAAATCATAAAAGATACAGATAAAATTTGTTCAAAATTCCACTCAATTTCAGATTGTTAGAGCCAATAAGCAGCCCTTACATTTAATGGCTCTGACAATATGGCAATGCTCATGTTCTTATAAGAAAAAGATTCAAGAATCTAGGGAAATTCAGAAAAGTTCAAGACACATGTTGGAAGGAAGCAGTTCCTACTTAAATGAGAGGGACTTAAGTTCAGGACTCTTCAAATGAAAAGAATAAGAGAGTCAAGTAAAGGGGATAAATTGACAGAAAGAAGAGAAAAGAGGAGCAGAAAGGACTTATGAATGGATATTTCGTTTCCATTCTTTCATGACCTGTCGTGCTGTTTCTACTTGCATAGAAGTCTCTCCCTATTACGTGTTGTCACAGATTCCAAATGTAGTTAACTCTACCCCTTTGCTGGAAAGAAATTGCTTGACACTCTTCAGTTGGCACCATCACCACTTTTCTAGGGAGAAAGCAGAGAACACACAGTGGTTTGCGGCCTTTATTTTTTGAAGCTAGCTCACATTTAAATCCCACAGAAACAGCAGGCAAGATGTAGTCCCAGCAGTACCCTGCCCTTGAAACCTTTTGGCTCCTTGCTTATGTTCCAACCGCCCCCAGACCCACAATGTTTATAAATGCAGCATCCTCTGCTGTCTGCCATTTTTCATGAGCTGCCATTGTATCTCATTTTATTTTACTGTTTGGTTTAAACCCTTCAAACCTTTTATCATAATATGCTTCCAATGGGTTTGGGCAGCTATTCCGAGGGCCTCAGGACAAATCACGCCATTGTGATACCCGAAGGTGCAAAGTGCTCTCAACCTCTCTCTCTAGAAACTTTGGGCTGCTTCTTCAGGTCCCTGACAAGACATAGTGCACACAGAGACATACCACTTTCAAAGAAGACTGTTCAGGAGGCTAATTTCTTAATATCTTCAAAATATGTATAGTTGGTTAGCTAGGCACCATGCTGTCAGGTGACTGTCATCTTTTTTCTTTTGGTCTGAACATCCATTGTGATATCATCAAATGCTCCACACTTCATAGAGAAAGCTTCTCTATGACTTCACCAAGAGACTCAGAGCTTGTCAGACTACCTGTTTGCATGGGTGGACATAGTAATCTCAAGCTTGAATGTTTAACACCTTGATGGGAAGGGTGTCTCATGGGATGTTTTCTCATCCTTTGAACACTCTTTATTTCAGAAGCTTTGCTTCTGCTGCAACCAGACATGACACTTAGCGTTCTGAGTAGGAAAGAGAAAGAAAGAGTGATTCGCAGACTGTTAATACAGGCTCCTCCAGGGGAATTTGTGAATGCCTTCGATGATCTCTGTCTGCTCATCCGTGATGAAAAACTTATGCACCATCAAGGTGAGTGTGCAGGTCACCAACACTGCCAAAAGTATTCTGTACCAATCTGCATTGATGGAAACCCAGTACTCTTGTCTCACCACAATGTGATCGGTGACTACCGATTTTTTGACCATCAAAGCAAACTTTCTTTCAAATTTGACCTGCTTCAAAATCAGCTGAGAGACATCCAAAGTCATGGTATCATTCGGAATGAGACAGAATACCTGAGAAATGTTGTCTTGTGTGGCTTAAAACTGTATGTGAACGACCACTATCCAATGGGAAATTGCAATGTGCTGAGAAAAACCATTAAGAATAAGGAGTTCTTGATAGCTTGCATTGAGGATCACAACTATGAAACAGGAGATTGCTGGAATGGTCTTTGGAAATCTAAATGGATTTTCCAAATAAACCCATTTCTAACTCAAGTAACAGGAAGAATTTTTGTTCAGGCTCACTTCTTCAGGTGTGTCAACCTTCATATTGAAATCTCCAAAGACTTGAAAGAAAGCTTGGAAGTAGTTAACCAAGCTCAACTGGCTCTAAGTTTTGCAAGGCTTGTGGAAGAGCAGGAAAACAAATTTCAAGCTGCAGTTCTCGAAGAATTACAGGAGTTATCAAATGAAGCCCTGAGAAGAATAATACGAAGGGATCTTCCTGTGACCCGCACTCGTATCGACTGGCAGAGGATCCTCTCTGACTTGAATCTGGTGATGTATCCTAAACTAGGATATGTCATTTATTCAAGAAGTGTGTTGTGCAACTGGATTATATAAAGGATTGCTCCTGGAAATTCTTTTGATCTCACTTGGTTGTGTTTCTGGGGAATGGTAATTTTCCTAAAGTTGAGCAACCCCTAGAGAGGTCTATCACTTGGCCGATGCAAGTTTATATCGAGAAAATGGTAACAAGTAATTTTATTCAGGGAATATTTACCAATAAGGCAAGAAAGAGTGGAGTAAATGTGTTTGGTAGTGGTTACCATCATAAAGGTGGAGTCATTTGTGGGAAACTAAAATAGCAGTATAGGGCCCGCCCGGTGGCGCACTGGAGAGTGCGCCACTTGGGAGTGCGGCAGCGCTCCCGCCGAGGGTTCGGATCCCATGTGGAGACCGGTTCCCCCTCACTGGCTGAGCATGGTGTGGGCGCAACACTGAGGGTTGCGATCCCATTGCCGGTCCCTGGTACAGGTGCAACACTGAGGGTTGCGATCCCATTACCGGTCAGTAAAAAAGACAAAAAGGAAAAAAAAAAATAGCAGTATAGAATGTGGCACTCCAGAAATATTACAGAGGTGGCCGGGGTTAAGGCTGTGTGTGTGCGTGTGTGTGTGTGCACACCTGTATGTGGGAGTAAAAATGACTTTTGACTTTCTTTAGAACTGAGGTGGTGTGCAAATGAAGGTCACTCGACAAACAATACTTTATTCAATTTAGTCCTAGACTAACCCTGAGAGGGTAGGTTTCAGTAAACAACATTAGGTTTGGATGTTCCATGAAACCAAATGATATCACAAATCCAGCTAAGATGAAGGACTATTAGATAACTCGGCCCCACTGCCTCTCTACTCCACCCCATTCACTCAATCCCTGGGCTTGTCTGATAACATGGTCTTCCAAATCATCTAGAAAAGCCTGACCTCCCAAGCTTGTATAGTCAAGCTCTTGTGAAGTTATCACTATAAACACAAGTGCTTACTTCATAACATGTCTCATGCTACATGTTTTGCATATGATTTTTTATCATTAGTCTGGCACTAACACTGTTTCTGTTTGCACAAGAAGCACCTACGATTTCAAGTTGTTTAAGTTGTCCAGACACATAATGTCTAAGTCCATTTGGGCTGCTATAACAAAATACTACAGACCAGGCTGGGTAATTTATAAAAAACAAAAATTTATTTCTCAAAGTTCTGGAGGCTGGATCATCCAAGATCAAGGCACCAGCAGATTCAGTGTCTGGTGAGAGCCTGTTTCCTCACAGACGGTGCTTTCTAGCTGCATCTTTGCATAGTGGAAGAGACAAGGCAGCTCTCTGAGGCCTCTTCACAATGGCACTAATCCCATTCATGAGGTCTCCATGTTCATGACAATCACCTCCCAAAGCTCTCACCTCCTAATATTACCACCTTGGGGATTAGGTTTTAATCTATGAATTCTGAGGGGGCAAAACATTCAGACCCTAGCACATAGTGACAATGTATCTGATTCCAGTGCTCAGGCTCTTGAGTATCACAGCCCTCCGTACAGGCCTGTTAAGGACTCAGGTCTGCTGAACGACAATTGAGTCAAGCATTCCACCTAAAGGATATCCCAGAAGAAACGGAACTGGAGACTGCTGTTTTCTTTCAAAATAAATCACTTGCACAGTCACCCTACCACTCTTCCCAGCAATGTTACTGACCACTTGTGTCTGCTCTTTCAATGAATTCCAAACTTAAACCTCTTTAACAAGATGATAGAAAAGCAGTAGGTCGGCCCATCTTCCCATTTTGATTATCTAGGAGCAAAGTACTTTGTATTTTGGATTCATGCAGTTGAGAAAAGATCTAATATTACTCAATAAACATTGGAGCAGACAAGAACGTATGCAAGAATTTCTAAACCTCAGCCATCTCCTCCCCAACTGGTGGTTCTTAGAGAATCTCAGGAGAGTAACCAGGGGTTTATCTTTAAAAATGCAAATTACTGGAGTCCATCCTCATATTCTGATTTTGTAGATTGGGAAATCTACATTTTTAGGAAGTATCAGAGATGACTTTAATGCAAAGGATCTTAAGACCACATTTTAAGAAATATTGCACTTATCTTTCTATTTACTTAATTAAAATCATTTTTCCACAAAACCACCACCCAGTGAAGGCCTTTCCTTCTACTTCACAGGATTCATTATGCA